TTATTTTCTCAATTGATGAAATTAAGTTTTTAGTGAATTTGTAAAGAACAGAGTTTTGAAAAGTCAATGTAACACCTCAGACTCGTATCCGGGTTGGATACGGGTTGGGGGTGTTATAATAAATGTAAAAAGAAAAATTTTAGTCGGATTTTCAAAAAGTCAAAATATTGAAAAGTCAATGTTACACCTCATATTCGTATCCAGGTCGGGTACGGATTGGGGTTGTGACAATGATAATGTGTCTCTTTCTCCTAATAACGTATATTTCTAATGATCCGATAGAAGTTTCAACTTAATCTCACGTGCCTGTAAAATCTCACAAAAATTTACCTTTTTGTTCTTAATGAGCTTCCTCTTGTCAGTACAGAGATCTTTCAGAAATATCACATACCTTGAAACCTTTTTTATTACGTCAAGTAATGGAATGTTGATTTCAACTTTTTGAAAAATATCGAGAATCTCTTTTTCTTCAGCCTCCTCATCATGTTGACGAGTTTTCTTGGGAATGGGGAATGTACACCATATGGTGATAGAACATACGATTCCACCAATACTTTTGATTATTCATTTTTCATTATGGGATTTGCGTTAACTTCTTCCAGGCAACCAAATTTAATAACAACTCCGTTTCATAGGGTCATTGCGCATGCCCTTTGTCTCAAATTTGGTTCCATTTGAGACATAAGTTTTTATTGGTATTTCAAACGACTCATAGCTAATGTAAATTAACTCATCTGTTTATCAATTGTTTTTAAAAAAAATAACCTTGGTTTTTTGTTGGAATTTCTCTTGGGAAAGTTTAAGCCTTTCGACTATTAACTCCAAAGATAAATTCTGCGATTAATATTGTTAAGGCATAGATGGTTGCGATTGACAAGGTTGATTGTATTTAGGATTTGAACTATAACTAATATTCGAATAGTCCCTCCAACGAACATTGCATGTATTTAAGTGAGTTATAATTTTGGGGAGGTCTTGGAAAATTACCTACAACATCTACATGTGTTATATTATCCTTTTGAAGCGTCAAACAACATTTTGTTAGATGATCTGGCATAGTACACATTATACATAAGTGAGTTGGACATATTTTACTTGCAAGCAAATTTTGAACAATATTAGTAAGTTTATCGATTTCATCTTCAATGGAATGTATACTTAACTCATGAACCCGTCGGGTGGGTTCATTAGAGGGATAAAATTATTGATTGTTAGTGGCCATAATTAAAATCAAATCCCTAGCCACATGAGGGGTCATGTTTACCTGGGCTTCTCCGCTTGTTGCATCGATCATTTTCATCTCCATATGAAGTAGTCATTCATTTGTAGAAGAGTTTGTTTCAATAAGTTGTGTTATGAACAACTTGCATATAGCTTTTTGATGTTTTCCAAGTAATTGTACAATGATTTATTATCCTTTCTTTAAATCCCTGCAATACTCCTCCTTAGGGTCACATGCATATGATAATTATGTTCGATGTTAGCCATATAACAATCAATCTTGCTGAATATATTAATTCAATGCTTAAAGGGACTCAATATATTTTGGTAGCAAGTATTGTTAGGGAGACTTACTTTAGATTGGGTAAAGTTTAGGCAGTCAAAGCTGCACAAATAGAGGTAATGATCAACGATGGTAGAAATTTGGCTCCAGATTGGAGAAGGCAATGAACAAAAATCAAACACATGCAACATCAATGTTTGTTCATAATTTCGCAAGACTTGATTCTTATTACGTTGTCAAAGCACTTGTTCAACTGCATGAGGGTGGTAATTCTCCACATACACCAGTAATCTAAATAGAATAGTAATCTAAATAGAATATAGTGTGATTGTGGTCGATTTCAAGCTTTCAGATACCCATGCGCTCACGCTATTGCTACATGTTAATGTAGACTTATACTTTTATGCTGATGATTATTATAGCCTGCATACTATGTGCAACATATATAGTTATGAGTTTAAGTATCTCCTAAATAATGCTTATTGGCCCCTAACAAATTTTGAAGAGTGATTGTAAAATCTATAATTAAAAAGGAAATTAAAGGGTCATACTGAATTAGTCGAATTCATATTGATATGGATGATCCTCAACGAATGTAATGTCTGCCAAAGCTTTATGGTCACTGCAGAGGTGAAGGCCATAACAGGAACCATTGTCCACATCTTCCAAAATATCGACCGAACCGATAAAAGCTTCATAGTTTTATTCTCATATTGTTTGTTGTACCTTTTTTGTGTGTATGGATATTTATGAATATCAGTAATCATCTTTATTTTTAACTTTTCATATATAATTGCAAACCATTCATAAATAACTTTTAAATAAACACAAATTCATACATATATTTAAAACATTTTTTCAACATAAAAAATATTTTTTCCTCTTCTTCTTCCTCTCAATTTTTACATTATTATTTTCCTTTTTTTTTCATTCCTTTTTATAAGTCGTTTGTTGCATCGAATTGGTAAATTTTCATTCTTCTTCTTCTTCTTGATTTTCATCTTTCTATTCTTCTCTTCAAGTTTCATTATCTCATTGTGTTGATCAAGTATCGACTTTATTGCCTCTTTTACCTACTCCTCATATGAAGTCGAACTTGAATACGAATCGTTGAAGTTAGAGTAATAAGACGAAAATAGATCGTTCAGAAATTTTTCGCAATATTCTTCCCACAAATACATGATTTGATTCTCGTATAAACTCTATCAACTCACCCCACTCCTATTTATATTGAAAATTTATCAAAATGACCGTTGAATCTCGTCACGCCCACATGATGAGTTCTATCAATTCAAATTATGTCGTTGGCCAACGGCTATAAACGATTAGTTATTTAAACCCAAAGGAACTCGTCACATTGACATGACGAGTTCCATTATTTTTTCTATATTTAAGAAAACCTCCAATCCAAAAAATATTATTTTAATGGGATTCGTCACCTCAACATGACGAGTTCCAAGAAAAATAATTAAATATGAATCGATAGAATAAAATAAATTTTCCAGATGAACTTATTACGTCGCATAACGAGTTCCATAAATACGGTAATGAATGTCGTAGATCCCAAAATAAACTTTTATATTGAGCTAATTGTTTTTACCGTTTGCCCTAAGGGGGGGGGATGATAAGATGGCCATCAATGTGAAAGAATGGGCCACGCAAGGCCTATAACAGAAAAGAAGTATAGCTAACCATAGAGATCGAGGCCCACATCTAAAAACGGATTGGTTCGGTCCTTTCGTTGTTACACAATCAACAGAAAAGAACAAAGCATTTCTTTCCAAGTATTTTACATTCATTGTTATGGACGGTCATGGTTGAGTTTTTTGTCCACATAAAATTATTTTAAAAATTAAATCGATTTACAAGTATTCAACTCGATCAAAGTTTAGAGAGCCCTATTCGATTTAAAATTTGATTCAATTTTATGGGTAAAACCAGTATCCGACATATATAAAGTAAAATGAATAATTAATTGAAAAAAATAATATAAAAATATTAGTATAAGTATCTCTAAATACTTAAAAATAATAATTATAATATTATTTTGGATTGAATTTTTCACTATAAACATAAATAAGATTTGATCTCATTCCTTTAAAAAAACTCTAATATTATCTAAATTTAAATATTTTTTAAATTATCTAACAAATCGCATCAAAATAGATCATAATATGTCAGATCGGAATCGAATATAATCCCTAAGCATTGCCCCCGCAAAACAGTGTTTTATTTAGTGAATAATTTCTGCCATATGCCATAACATTGATTTCATTTCGGTCTTCAAGGCATTAAATGACAACAATATGCATAAAACCAAGATCGGTTGAAGGAGGATTTAATGCTTCTGATTAACAGTAATATTGCTAACTGTCCAGACAATCTAATAGCACACACATACATAAATTTTGACACCTACAAAATTATGGCTGGACCTAGCTGTGCCCATTTAATGATACAACACTCAACTCTGTTTCCCTTTCTTTTCTTCTTTGAATATATATATATACATGGACAATATAATTCAAAACATGACGTGTGATGATTCTGAAAACTGTAATGAAATTTACGACGATTGTTTTATTACAATATCATGAGTAAAGTGCGTTTTAAATGCCAATCGTGTGTTGAAGTGCCAAAAGCGGATATAATAAATACGTGTGAACCATCGAGAGCACGCCTGCTATAATTGCCCATACTCACTGTGTCATCTTCCTCTTGGATCACAGCGAATTTGCTTGATCGAATTAATAAATGGGGACAAAGAGTATACAAAAATTTACTCCATTGTTTTTTTCATTTTACAGTTGGCTTTATTCCCGTTTTGAAGAGGGAAGGGAAAAAGAGTAGGGCAATGGGCAATGGCCCTCAAATAGTTACCTTAACATCAAGTCCTCAGACCCATCAAAACCTATACATTTACTCTTTGTTTTGATTATGATTATTTTTACAGTTGGGTGTATTCCCCATTAAGTAAAAGGAGTTGTATGCAATGACCCTCAAATGGTAACGTTAACATCAAGTCATTCGGCAAAGAGGGCCCCTCGTCGTTTCTATTTGAACACCAAAACAAAATTCATTTAAACCGAACAAGACAAAAAAACTAAACAGGAGAAGGATGATGACGATCCATCCTTCTGTACCTATTTCATTGCACCATATTTTCAGTTTCATTTGTTTTTCGAAGGGAACTGCAGAGGATTCAGATATATAAGCAAAAGATACAAAATGTAAAACAAAAAATTTAAATTCCTGCCCATTTTGTCTGAGTGCCCGTTGTTGTAAATGCTAGTTGCTGTCTTCATATAAATGCCAGGAAAATGGAAACTATACTCATTTATGAGCAATCTTGGCCAACCAGAATGCAACACTTTTGTAAATGCCCAAATGTGTTTAATATATATTTTGCATAAATATTTACGAATCGATAATGCATTAAACACATTTAAATTCATAATTTTCAAATATAATAATAATAATAATTAAATATGCCTGGATTTTAGGCAAATGAAAGATTCCACGGAAAAAGGGTGTTCATACATATATATTAGAAGGGAAAGGAAGAACAATAAGCTACGAAGTTAAGTGCGAGAAGAATAATTTAAAGGCCACTCTCTTTTTTCATCAGGTCGCTATCAGAACACCAACTTCCTACAATGTGCTGGGATGTCATTACTTTCCCCAGCCAAAGCAGCAAGATCTCCAATGGTTTCGCCGATTAGGTCTCGAAATATTAGTGGTTCGATGTCGAGAACCGCTTTGGACATCTCTAAGGGGCAACCTTCCCACCCGTTGATGGCATCCTCAGCAAGGTCCTTTCTTAACACGCCACCAATGACCTCAAGCAAGTCATCCGATGTGTCCCTCTCTCTGATATTTTGGAATTCAGACCAAATTTGTTGCAACGAAGTCTCCCCGGACCCCGAATTCGTGACGGAGATGAGCTTCCATGGCTGTAATTGCTTCTTTCGGTTGAGAATTTCATTGATGGTGTCGAATATAAGCTTCCTTTGGAGTCTAGAGACTTTGGAAGTGTCTTTGCCCTTCACATATTGTTGCTTCTCCAGCAATAAAAAGGCATTGGAGCCATGATCCAAGTAATGGGATGCTCTAAGGATATCAGAAATGTACATAAAATCACAATCATCAGCAGCTTTGTCTTCGGATTTTGATTCCAGGGATAAGGTTGCAGGACTCCACATTTCATCTTCTGATTCACCAAGTTGATCTGATGATAACAAGAGAAAAAAATAAATTAAAATCTCAGTTCCAGGCTTTGATTGGAAATTTACCCAATCCCAAAATAGTTCTGTTTTCAGCTTTAAATTCATCGTCGCTTTCACTCTATTTCCCATACGCACATATTTTAACACAAGAGTTGGAACATTTTCGTACAATTATCGAAGGCAGCATGGGATACTCTAAACTCTAATGGCCTCAAACGGCCATCTGTCAGGCAGAAGTACGAGGATTTTACCCTTTTCTCACATCAGGTAAATTTTGTTTTGCAGGATGAGGTTTCAGTCACTTTTTCTATTTACAGCCGATCTTCGAACATAGTTACTGTTCATCATTTTACTATTTTCGAGTTTGACTCGCAAATATTTCCCGCTGGTTCGTGCATGAATTCGTCCCAAATAAAAGTGGTTTGATTAATCATGGATTAATCAAACAAATAAAATCTAAGGCTCTTGTAATTAGGGGCTGAACTACAATGGTACTTACGTGATACGTCACTGTAGTCATATGCAAAACATAGCCAATCAAAATCAGTAAGTAGGCTTCTTCACTTTCCCATAAAAATTTAGTCTAATATTTTAGGGTAAAATCACTTGTTTGTAATTTGTTTTAAAAAGTGGCATGTTTATTTCGTCTAATATTATTGTCTCCTTGAGGGTAGTTTACGCAAAAAAAACAAGCACTAGAATTTTTGTCCGTACCTTTGAAATCAATGCTCCGTTTCATGATAGGGGAAGGAGGCGACTCTTCCTTGTAAAACGAAGAATCAAGTACGGAGACCGGACTCGGCTGCAACTCAGCCGCGGCAGCAGCCATCTCTGCAATGCTGTGAAGAAGCTTATCGCATCTTTCCAGAAGGCTGTTCCCTTCCTTGTAGTCATCCACCTTGGATTTCTTTAACACCCAATGTTTCATAACAACAAATTACTGGTTTGAATGAATACGATAGTTAAGCAAATTTAATTTAGTAATTTGAGAAAACTTATACCTCCGTATCAGTTTGAGAAGACGAGCTAATGCTACTTTCTGAAACAATACATGCTTGATCCTCCGCTGGAATAAATACCTTCTCTTCTTTATCATAAATCTCAGGTGTTGGTTTCATGTTTCGGGGTAATATATCGGTCAAATGATCTAATCCGGTTCTTCTCACTTTGACCCGAGGGGACTGAACCGGAGTCACTCTTCTTTGCTCTACATTACCACTACCTCTCCTCTGCGTTTCTACACTCAGTGGCCTTCTGTTGGGACCCCTGACGCCACAGTCATTCCTACCTGGAGAAATCGAGCCCTTACCCCTGCTTTGGTTCCGGACATTCCGTTTAATCTCCGGCAGATCACGTCTCGGACTCATAATCGGCGGTGAGTCAATATTCAAGTTACGGTGAGGTCCTGGTCTTGACCGATAACTTGAAGGAGGCGAATCTTTGCCAATCCTTCTGACGGCAGAAGTCGGTTGGCTTCCCGGTTTGATAACGACAATTGGAGATTGTTCATGTTGATAAACAGAGTTCCTGTTATTCGTTTGACTCGGAGATTTCTTGGTGTGTAGAAGGCCTTTGAGCTGCAAAGCTTCGAGGATTTGCTTTAGAGTCTCGAGATCTTTCGATGGCTCATCGATTCCTCTCATCTTAAGACGTTTCTCAATCTCTCCGTAGACGGAAGCGGTCTGTTTTCGCTCGGCAAAGATATCTGCTGAATCGTAGAAACATTTTCTTCTGTCCATTCCTCGAACTGGAGCTTGAACCGGTTCAGTTCTAGCATTTCTGAAGCTTTCTGATCTACTGAGGTTTACACGATCTTGTTTGGCTCCATTTTCTCTTACAACATTGCTCGAAACTCCTCCGTTCTGGAAATTTGGTTGCTGGCTTTGTTTTGAACGGAAATTAACTCCATCAATGAAACGATGCTGAAACAGATCTCGACCTCTTACTTCTGACGCGGACCTTTGGAGCTCCAATTTTCTGTCCGGTTCAGGATTCAAATCCGGTAACGGTTCCAGTCCCATGAGCCTCGCTATTACGCTTGGTGACCTTTGTTTATAGCTATCATCCGCCTCATATTCTACTCTGCTACTTTCGCATCGTTTGGCAGATAAAATGGAGGCGTTCGTACGGATCTCCCGGGGCTTAAGGCTTCCTTTAGCATCAACGACAGCTCTGCTATCAAGAGAAAGCCGTGGAGCTTCCTTAAATTTCCATGGCGACCTCGCGCTACCTTCTTTGCATTCAAAAATTGCAAGGGGAAGAGATGATTTGCCGTGATTACCAGTCGGCGTGGTAGGTTCCCGCACCGGAGTTTGCTTCGAACGGTCTGGTGATGCTGATATTCGACCTTGTGGCTGCTTATCTAATTCTTTCTCTGACTCCGTCGTCGTTTCACCTGCCTGAAAAAAATAAGTCAATAAGACGAGAGAAACTAACGTAAAGAATATAGAGATTTCACAAAACGAAAACCAACCGGCGTTGGCGTGGGAGGGAGGCGCTTAGTGGAGTAAAGGCGTTTGCCGGAAAGAATCTGATGACGATCAAAGATCTGAAAGAAGCCAGCCATGCATCCCATTTGTTTCCCTATTCGCTTCTCAAGATTTTGCTCTGGAAATATATTACCCGTCATCATTTTTCCTCTTGTTAAACTCAATAATCCTCTTCTTGCTGACAAACTTAAGCTTCTGGGTGGACTTGCATCCCCAAATAGCTCACCATGAATGATTGCATGTTTCTTTTTCCACTGCTCTGTCTGTGGCTGAGGGGTTTTGCGACAGCGGTCTCTATACGCATCTCCCGCTTTTCTGGTCTTTAAAAGGGTGGGCGAAGTCGAGGAAAAAGAGCAGTGGGTGTGGGGGGCAAATGAACATGCTCTACCTTTTTATCAAAATGACAAATTAGTCCATTAGATTTTAATACATTTCGTGAAAGCGTAGACTCCAATAATATTTACATCCTACATATTTTTTTTAAAACTATGATTAGATTTTGGGTACTACTAAAGATACCAACTTTTTCTAAACATACCAAGTCAAACTACTACCTATTATTTTAAATAATCCACCACACTAAAATTCATCATAAATAAATCGACATACGGGTACTCGTAAAATTCAGGTACCCGGAATATCCGGGTCGGGACACGGACCGAGAAATCACCGACCCAGATTTGCACACCCCTAGCGCACATTGGTTTATGCTTGGCGTGCGTAATTCCATCTCATCCATTGATTTTTGGCCATCGTGTTATTAACCGTTAGATGATCTGACTAATGTTAAAATATAAAAGTTGCATCTGCATGAGAAACCCATATGTTAGTCGTAAGGAAGAGTTAAATATTAATAACAAAAAATATCTTCGACATTTTTATATATTTTGAGTTAAATTAGAAAAAAATATGAATTGAGAATATATATTAAAATAATAAAAAAAAAGTAGGTTCTGATTTGTTTTAATTATTTCAATTTCAATTTAATTTTATTTTTGTTACATATTAATTTTATTTTTCTTTAAATTTTCAGGTATCACAAATATTTTTAATCGAACAAATTTATAACAGATATGAACTTTTGATCGAATAACACCCAACCCGTGCGTCACACATTAACATAACCCATTTGCCCATTTTTATTTCTTTGCCACCCATACACCCTACATATTTATTAAAAAAATAATAAAGAAATAAAAATGATGCCCTCTCTTTCCTTTTCTATTATTCTATTAAAAGAATTGGTATGTTTAGTAAAACATTTGGTACATTTAGACACACCCTAGATTTTAATTCAAATGAATTTATAAAAATCGTTAAATTCACCGAATCTACTTATAAAAATTTATATAATTAGCGGTTAAATAATAATTTAATACTTACATTATTAATTTATAAGATTTTGATTACTTGAACTTAATTATTATTAGTCGACGACATGTCGTATTAATAAAACGAGTTGATATTTACTTGATTACTGATTTTTGGATAAAATATTTATTTAACTTTTAAATTTTAGATAATCCATCTTCAAATTTTGATAAAATATAAATTTAACAAATAAACCATATTAAAGTCTTCTATCGTCGGACAGCATGATAACTAGGTGAACCACAGGGAAGAATTGCAAATTCGATGGTAAAATTACCACGTGCCACGAATCACCACCGTTCTAACTACACTAGTTGAGGGTTCATCGAAAGGTGCATACACTGTAACCTCTCAGATCGATGTGGATAACCCGATCCGATCTGGGTTGTCACATTAGGGCCACCGGAGCGACCCACTGTAAAAATAGCGGAATTTAAAACTTTTTATCAAAACAAGTAAACCCATAAACTCATTTATCATATTCAGAAATAAAACAGATTTTCAGACTCGTATATAAAGCTAAATACAATTACATGCCCCATGATCACATGTATCATACTCTCCAAGCAACGCCGAAAGAACTCCCTTACTGATCTCGATAGCTGCACTGACACAATTCTTTTTAATCTAAAAATGTGAGTAACAGAGTGAGCTTTGAAAAACTCAGTAATACAGAACTACCAAATGATGCTAAAGAACGTGCAAATACAGATAAACATATATTTCCTTATTGGTTCAGACATCTACAGATTTTTATACTGAGCGGAGATCCTACAGATATTTCAGGTAGTAACAGATAGTAAGCGTTTAGTTCATGAAAATATTTTAGATGACTGAGTCCAGGAGGTCAGAATAGGTTATCTAGTGTGTTCCCATAAAACCAGTAAAAGATACAAATCTTTTTAAAACATATTTTTAATTTTTAAAACATGAACACTACCCCCATCCTTTCACAATCTGTTTTTGTAGGTTCTCCAGAACCATACAACCCACACAACCAGTAAGGCCCTGAGCACAAAGCCGAGTAGCCTGCATATATACTTCCTCCAACAATAGCCCTCCCAAATAAAACATTTTTCCATCAGTAAACGGATTTATCAGAAATCAAAACAGAATTCAGATCAGATATCAGAACAGAATCTATATCAGAAATCAAAACAGAATCCAGGTCAGGTATCAGAACGTAATTCAAATCGGAAATCAGATAAAACATTCATGTGATTAAGGAACACACTAGTGTTTATAGATATTATTCAGAGGTATTGAATAATATTATCAGGAAGAGAAACACGGATCTTCAGTATACCAATAGAATGACGGAAGTTAGAATCACTATTGGAAGAGTTCATTAACTAACAGAATCATCAATTATTTAGAATGTGATTTTAGCTGATAAGGAAGAAATAAAGGTTCGGGACATTTACAATCTGTGTCGATCTATCGGATTATCGAAATAACTCAAGCTGAACAACTCTAGAACTAATGAATGTTGACTGGCCATGTAACATCCCAAACTAGGGGTTAGTGGCTAAATTGTAAAGTTTAAGAATTTGATGAATTAAGTAGAAGAATGGAATAATTCGATGATTTATTTGAAAATAATTCCTAAAAGTTGTTAGTAATTATTAAAGTAGATGAAGTGCAAAATGGTCATTGAACAAAGATAATATTAAATATTAATAAATGGGTATTATAATATATGAGAGGTATGATTGAAGAGATAAGTTTTAGACTTATCTTCTTCATCTTCATCTTCTTTCAAACGTGAAGGGCCAAGCTTGCAAAGGTGAGTTTCTTTGTTAGTTGGTTATTTGCTAAATTTATGGTTGGGTTTTGATCATTAGATAATAACTAAGCTTAAGGAAAGCTTAAGTTATCTTAAGATTGAAAGATAAAGAAGTTATGAAAGATTAAAGAAAATGAGTTTTTAAAGGAAATTCTGGAAAGAGTTAATAAGAGATTTTTAAGATGGAATTTGACTTGTCATCAATAAGAATAAGAGATTTATGAAGTTAGAAAAGATTTATAACAAATTTGAAAGTTTAGTAAGATTCTTAATTTTAAGAATCTTGATGAAATATGGAAGATAAATATGATTTATATGGGCATAAGTTGGTTTCAATAATGATAGTTGAGTTTAAAGTCATAATAGGGGATCAAAATAGAAGAATTAAGGGAAGAGTTGATGATTTACGTGTTAAAATGTCAGTTCTGGGCAATGTGCATCGATGCACATTCATTGTGCACCGATGCATCGATGATAAATACCAGAAATTGTTTAAGATGCATCGATGCACATGCAGTGCATCGATGCATGAATTTAAATAGAAAACATCGAATAGGATTTATGCATCGATGCATAAGGAGTGCATCGATGCATCCCCATTAAATAAAAACATCGAATGCATTTTATGCACCGATGCATAAGTAGTGCATCGATGCATACATTCATTGAAAGAGGAAATGGGCTTTTCTCTTAGCCTAAGAAGTGACAGTTTAGAATATATCAATTGGAATATTGATATGAATCTGTGTATTGTTATGTAGAGATAGAAAGTGATCCGTTTCGGGACAATTGAGGAATTAGAATCGAATCAAAGCAAAGCTAAGGTGAGTGCAATTTATTTTGTACTTATTTTATTGAATTAACATTGGCTTGTGATGAGCCAGTGATGGAGTTACTATGGTAAGAAGTAACTTCTAAATTGTTATGTGATTACCATGTATGCATTAATACATAGAAATAGATGGATGCTATGTTATATGATTTATATGCTTAAGTGAAATGCAACATATGATATATGTTATTTGACATGACATGCATGGTTACATGAAAGAAAGCTATGTGACTACATGTATATGTGAAAGAAGCTATAAGCTTATATGCACATGTGATATATGTGATATGAATTATATGAAATGATTTACGTGAATACATGTATATATAATACATGTGATATGATATGAGATATATGGTTACACATACATGTGGTATGTGACAGAAGAGAAAGAACAAGTGATACGAAATGTATAAATAAATGCCCATAGTATATGATACGAGAGCTATAGGTATAGTTGGCATGCCAAGAGTCGAGGGTTTACCTATGTTGAAAGGAACATATGGATAGTTGCCGAGGATCTTTATGACCTCTGGATAGTTACCGGGGTTCTTTGTAACCTCTGGACAGGTCCTTCGGGACGAATACTGAACGAATGTTCGGTGCCCCATGAGGGAATTTATACGAGCTGTGGTGACAGCATTAGTGCACAACCTCAATGTACTCACATACCTCTATTCTCAATAATATACATGGGCAATGAAATTGACAGACAAATGAAAGTGAAAGTGATAAAAGAAGGTAAGTTGAATGTGTGCATGACCTGATTGTATATTGTTATCATACAATAGATTCATGCATATTGATATGTCACGATTCAATGATATGAATGCACATACATGAATTATATGATGTTATGTGTGTTTCTGGGTATAGTGATATATGTGTTATATGATGAGTATATGGTAAGTGGAAAGGATTATTGATAGTGTTTGCATATGTATGTCTTTTATTTATATGAAATGATATATGGTTATATTATATGTTTTATATGCCTCACTAAGTCTATGACTTAGCGTGTAAGTGATTTACACGTAGGTACCAAGAAACGAGAAGTGAAAGAATAGAAGTGGCAAAGACAGTATCACTACTAAAAGATTAGATCAGAAGTATTTGACAAAGTATGTATTTGGTTATGTATAAAGTGTTGGCATGTAATAAGTCATTAAGTACGAGCACTCTGATCAAGTCTGTATTTTGTTTTAAATAAAGTTTTAAATTTCCCGGGATTTTTCTTAAGAGTCAAGATTTGAAAAGTCAATGTGACACGCCAGACTCGTATCCGGGTCGGGTACGGGTTGGGGTTGTTACATTTAATGGTATCAGAGCTACGGTTTAGCCGATTCTAGGCTAAAAACGAAGTCAAAAGTGTTTTAAAAAGTATACATGCCAACGAAATAGTGAAAACTT